CATACCAGTAAATAACATATATACTGATGTTTCTGTATTTTTTATTTTTTCCCCCAATCTAGAAGTTTGCTTTAATGCTTTTAAAACCATAAGCTTATTTATTTATTTATTTATTTTTGAGGCGGAGTCTTGCTCTGTCACCAGGCTGTAGTACACAGGTGCGATCTCAGCTCACTGCAACCTCTGCCTCCTGGGTTCAAGCAATTCTCCTGCCTCAGCCTCCCGAGTAGCTGGGATTACAGTTGCCTGCCACCACTGTAGGGGGCACACGGCAACATATTCAAGCTTATGTACATGGCATTTGAGGTCAGGGCATGGAAAAATACTGAGGCACCGTTTGTTATTTGTGCATGGGAATGGAACTCCTTGACCCTGAAAACAGGACAGGGAGCGGAGTGTGTGGTGTGATAAGGAATGTTGAAAACAGCCTCCTGAGAATGCAGTTTGAGTGGTACAAGGTCACAGGTGCCTCAGCAACTCACCTCAAATGACCATCTAGTGGATGTTTGTAGTTAATACAAGCCCTTTCAATAAATACTTGCCAGATGGATGCTGGGGTGGACTGTTTTGGAAGAACTATCCCCTAGCCCCGTTCAGCTGGAACTGTCTGAGTACTTAGTTCTTGGCATTCACTGCAAGCTATAAGCTCTGCAACCACACCTGGCTAAGTTTTGTATTTTTAGTAGGGCAGGGTTTCACCATGTTGGTCAGGCTGGTCTCGAACTCCCGACCTCAGGTGATCTGCCCACCTCAGCCTCCCAAAATGCTGGGATTACAGGCATGAGCCACCACGCCCAGCCTAAAATTTTTAACTACTGCAGATATGTATGGGAATAAATGATGAATTCGGCATGTAAAAGACAATTTGGCTGTGCAGATTGCAAGGTAATGTCTTGGCTGGGTGTGGTGGCTCATGCCTGTAATCCCAGCACTTTGGGAGGCTGAGGTGGGTGGATCACCTGAGGTCGGGAGTTCGAGACCAGCCTGGCCAACATGGTGAAACCCTGTCTCTTCTAAAAATACAAAAATTAGCCAGGTGTGATGGTACATGCCTGTAATCCCAGCTACTTGGGACGGTGAGGCAAGAGAATTGCGTGAAGCCGGGAGATGGAGGTTGCAGTGAGCCAAGATCGTGCCACTGCATGCCAGAAAATAAAAAAAGGGTAATGTCTTAAATTTTAACTCAGTCAACTCAGTCTGAGAAAGGGTAAATAAACTGCAAGTTTTATGACTGACTTGCAGATTAAATAATTCCATAATTAGTTGGTCAGAAATGGTTCCTTAGTGTTTAGAGTATAGAAGAAAATCTAATATAAAAGCTGTTTCTTATTAACATTAAACAAACAATGAAGAATATTGATCGGGCACAGTGGCTCACACCTGTAATCCCAGCACCTTGGGAGTTCGAAGCAGGTGGTTCACTTTGAGCTCAGGAGTTCAAGACTAGTCTTGGGCAATGCAGCAAGACCCTGTCTCTATTCTAAAAAATTAAAACATTAAAATTTTATTTTTTAAAAAAGTGAAGAATAGTAATCAGGTAACTTATTATTAAAATGTCATTGTATTTTCAGAAGTCTCCATATTTAAATGCTACTAAGTAAAATTATGGCATATAAAATTATATAAATTTGCCAAAAGTTACAGTTGTAGACGTATTCATGTAAAGAATCTAGAAAACTGATAATCTCAAATTATATGAGAAAGAAATGAAAGAGGGGTAAACTTCCAAGTAAATTAATTAAATAATAATGCAGTATCCTCACGATTTTAAGATAGAGGGTAGGTTCTCTCCCACCTACCAGAGAGTCCCAGAGAATAGGGAAGACACCTGCCTTTTGCATCCTGGAAAGTATGTTACAAAACTAAAGCTCCTGTGTCTTCCATACCTAAGAAGTAGCTCTTTTTATGTTATATCTGCATGCAAACTTTAATTTCTAGAGTGTTTCTTAAAGAGGTAAGTGTACTCCAAACTTTCTCTCCTCTTTTTTAATGAGAATCCATGCACATAATGTTACTATTTTTGATTAAACAGATCTTACTCTTCAAGGGTTTGGGCAGAAAAATAAGCAAATTACTGCTATAGAGACTCAGGTACAATGAAACATTGGTTCCTATGGTCTGTTTGGATCACATGGAAAAGTCCAAATCTGATTGTAAAAACTACAGAATTCCAGATTACTTGAAAAAATGTTATTTTATTTGTACAGTTAAAAAGCTGTATATAGAAACTTATAATACAGTTCTGTAAAATTGAAAGACTGTCAGGGAAAAGGGAGGGTGTTACTTTTTTTGATTGTTCATTAAGGAAGTTAGAGAAATAAAAAAACACAGTAAAAAGTTTAAAACATTAAAGAACATTTTTCAGGTATGAATTTTATAAATACAAAAAAAATTCACAAATTACTTTCAATACTAAATAAATATCTAGTTAATAAACTCAGACTTAATACCTCCAGCTAGCACTGGTACAGCACTTCAAGGATATAAGATTGGATTCATTCATGTGTAGTGTTGAAAGAATGTCTTCATTAAACAAGACATAAACAAATTTTTCTAAACTGTCCTATAGTAGAAGAATCATCCATGTAGATAACTCTCCCTTAATACCACAACTTTAAAAAAAATCATCAATAACAAAAAAAAATCATAGGTGAAAAAATATTTTCCAAGACCTCTGGACACATGAATGATCTCAAAAATGTACAAAAACCTCTGTAAACCAGTACTGTATCCAATATATCTATTAAACTTATTAGATACTGAACAAAACTGTAGCAAAGGACATCTTTCCTACATTCTCCTGAGTGCTTAATATTAAAATTGAGAATATAGTGCAGGCCACACTTTCATGTGGTCAATCAGTTGTTATTGCTTTATAACATATATGTCTGCTTTAGAGAATGATTTAATGTTCCATTTTCATGAACAATTTGTTTTTCCTCATATACATCCTTTCAAAGGACAAAGTTAGATTCGTGACTTTTTCGTAGCCGGTGGTGTGCTAACTTGGTCCACATTACTGGGTGTGACATGGAGTCCAAGCTTTTGAGCTTGAATATGAAAAAATGCTTGAAGCCTAGTTCCAGCTTTTGCTTCACTTGTGTTACGAGGGTTGTATTCAAAGCAGTTCGAAAACATTAACTCAATATCATCAATAAACTCAGCTAGAAAGGGAAAAAGAGCAAACAAGATTAGAATGAAAGTACATAAATTATAATAAAATTCTTGTATCCTATCTGGAAATCTCATTAAGAAAAATGGATCCAGGGAATAGTAGCAGTTGAGGTTCCAAAAAAGAAAAAAAAAAACGGAAGCCTACATTTTCTTTAGAAAGAGAAGACTCTGCCTAGGCATGGTAGCTCACATCTGTAATCCCAGCACTTGGGAGGCTGAGGCAAGAAGATCACTTGAGCTCAGGAGTTTGGGACCATCCTGGGCAACACAGTGAAACCCCATGTCTACAAAAAATACAAAAATTAACCAGGCACGGTGGTTCATGCCTGTAATTCCAGGACTTTGGGAGGCCAAGGTGGGAGGATCATTTGAGGTCAGGAGTTCAAGACCTGCCTTGGCAACATGGTGAAACCGTGTCTCCACAAAAAAATATAAAAAATTAGCCAGGCATGCCAGGTGCAGTGCCTCATGCCTATAATCCCAGCACTTTGGGAGGCTGAGGCAGGCAGATCACCTGAGGTCAGGAGTTTGACACCAGCCTGGCCAACATGGTGAAACCCCGTCTCTACTAAAAATACAAAAAAAGCCCAGCGTGGTGACAGGCGTCTGTTGTCCCAGCTACTGGGGAAGCTGAGGCAGAAGAATCACTTGAACCTGGGAGGCGGAGGTTGCAGTGAGCTAAGATCATGCCACTGCGCTTCAGCCTGGCAACAGGGTAGACTCCGTTTCACAAAACAAAAAACGGCACAGTGTCCTCCACCGTGGTGGTCCTAGCTACTTGGGAGGCTGGGGTGGGAGTACAGCTTGAGCCTGTGAGGTCAAGCCTGCAGTGAACTGAAATTTCGCCTCTGCACTTCCAGCCTGGGCAACAGAATGAGACCCTGTCTCAAAAAAAAAAGGAAAAAGAAAAAAGATTCTGAAAAAAGGTAGCAGAACTGAGGCTTAAAACTGTTTAATTGTAAATACTTTAAAACTGTTTTATTGAAACTATGCAATTCTGTGATCATATACATTATGTAATTATAAATAACTTCTTTGAGTAAGATCAGATCTATAAAATATCTTTAACTTACATCTTGATCCTAATCCATCGTTCATCTCCACAAACACTAATAAGTACTTGTGGAACCTCATGGCATGCCATCTACACAACTGCATTAACACATGCTTTCAAAAAGAGAAAAACAGCCTCTACCTTTTTAAACAAAAATAAATATCAAAGGTGATATAACAGAATGTCTTAGAAAAATAAGTATCAAAGAAAAACATAAATTACTTACATGCTAATTTATATTCACATTTATTCACTTTTTCACGAATTATATTTAAGGCAATGGGCTTTTTGATGATATCATAGTAGTCTGGGACCTGTAAAATAATTCAAGTATCTCTCTCCACACAGAAAACTTAATTGGAAAGAACTGTTCAAGTAACTAAAAGTTTTGGATTTAAAAAGCAACTCATATTAACCTCTGAATACTAGTGGTCTGCTAAAATCATGCAATATGTTTTCAGTAAATATCATATAGAAGCCTAAGTGATACATTAAAAATGTTAATTTATTGTGAAAAGAAAAAAAAGTATGGTCTTGCTCATGGCTCTCTCCTCTATGTATCTATATATATACACACACCCCATTGTCACTTGTGACCAAAAGAAAAAAAAAATTCCTTCAATCAGCATTATTGCATTTGTAATAAGGAATAAAATGTATATAACAAAGTGTAACTTAGGACAAAAATTACTCAGGCAAAATGAGTCAAACTGAGATTTAATTCTTTTCAATGCTATTCAATATTAATTAACCCTTCTCATTCTTGCTCTAGAAATCTCCAAGTAGAATTCTGATGATGTCACTTTGTCATTCAGAAACCTTTCCCTCACACTGGTGAGTGAGACCCTTTATCATACAGTTGTGTCTGAGACTTTCTAACTTAACCTCATTCAAACCATTCACCATAGTCTAATTTCTGGGTGTCTACTTTATATTATATTCCTTTTTCCCTGAAACATCCTTACTCCATTTCTCACTGGTGAAATTCTTTCTTCAATGACCAGTTCCAAACAGTTGGAACTCCTTAAAAAACATCCTAATTATTATTTTTGTCTCTCTGAAATGCTCAAATCAATCTGTCTTCTCTACTTCTGTAACGCCATGTTAACTTCTATTACAGTACCATAACACTGTTCTACCTTTGCTATATAACACATCACATTCTGCCATACATATATAACCTAACTACAACACCATTTCATATCTTTCAGTTAGGTTAGGGCATCACTGTTACCTAAGAATATCTTTTTTTTTTCCCTTTGGAGACAGGGTCTTGCTCTGTCACCCAGGCTGGAGTGCAGTGGTGTTACTCAGCTCATTGCAGCCTCCCTCCACCTCCCAAGCTCAAGTGATCCTCCTTCCTCAGAGTCCCGAATAGCTGAGACTAAAGGCATGCAACCACCACACTTGGCTCATTTTTTTTGTTTTTGTATTTTTTGTAGAGTCAAGGTTTTACCATGTTGCTTAGGCTTGTCTCAAACTCCTGGGCTCAAGCAATCCATCTGCCTCAGCCTCCCAAAACTGTTGGGATTACAGGTATGACACACTGCAACCAGCCAGAATACCTCTTTTTTTTTTTTTTTTTTTTTTTTTTTTTTTTTTTAATTTTTTTTGC